CTCTTCGCAGAGGAAACAGGTCGTGTGCAGAATTCATCTTATTTAGGATTTTTCCACATTTGGCCATCTCGTCAAAAGACTGCGGCAGGAACCCTCTTGCTCATATAAATAGTGCATGATACTGAGTAAACTCCACACAAGATCGTGCGGTCGAGCTTTTAGCCGCCAATGAAGGATGTTTGATGATATTCCTCTCTGATTTTCGTTGAAATTACTTTGTCAAAAAAGGAAATTGATGTGACGGACTCCACTTCTTCAGAAGAAAGATGTAAACTTTAATATTTAGGCGTGCGTTTTCTTCAGGGTGGAGCTGTATTTAATCAAATAGCATAAAGTTTATATAACGGATGCAGATTAACTAGAGTTTCAAGGGCTTGACCAGAAGTTTAAAGCAGTGATCCGGTAACGAGAATGGAGATCAGCCATTGAACTTTGTTTTGTCGATTGTCGGCCACCAGACTGTGGCTTCGTGAAACAGAATTCGTCTTATGAGGGCCTTAATATATATTTGTACGGATCGCAGCTTTGCAGGCAAAAATAAATTTGGGAATTTAGGAATTAATTTAAGGAATTGCTTTTATAAATTAATAAGACGGCCAAGCCTGTGTAAAAATTAAATTGTGAAGCTTAAGAGGCTTATATTACCATTGATTAATTTTTTTTTAAAGCAACTCTGTTTGACTGAAGTTGTTCAACATTTTTATTACAATATATACTATATTTTCTTTAAGGCTTTATTTTAAAAATAAATATATCTCATTTTCCTCAAAATAAATTCATTAACTAAGGTAAGGTAAGGTCCTAATTGTAGCTTAGCAGCGCTATTAACTTTCTCGCCTCACCAAAGTTAGATTGTTTGAACATTTTTTAAATTTTCATGCTACTCAGAGTTGTGCTCTCCATCAGAGTTGCTTCCTCATCCTTACTATTGTATACATTACTTAGAAACATTGCAGCCGCAATCGTCAACATGTTGCTCCGAATACATGTTGCTAATGAATACAGCTGTTCGGCATTTCCTGCGCAACACACACACACATACACACATACGCTGTCGCTCTCTCAAACATAGCAGAGAAATAGCCCAACGACAATCATAAGGCGGCAAATGTTGGCAGCGTGCCATAAAAAGCCGCTGAAAAGAATGAAAAATACATGAAAAGTTGCCGGCATTCACCAATAACCCAACAAGCAATTTAGTTGGTAGTGAATAATAAATTGACTGGCTTATTGATCCCTGTTGATTATAACTATGTACTGTAAAGAAGAAATATGCGTCACAAAAGACATTTGAAAGAAATTGGCTCTTTACAACCGCAGAGCTGCTCCTTTAACTTACGGTAAAACATCAGGATTTTTCCACCAAATAAAGAAACCCAAATTTTACGTCACTTTTGGAGGTCTGTGGAATTTTTATGAAAAGCTTTTATTTCATCCTAGAAATACGAAAACCTGTTTCTGTTAGGCACGAAGATAGTTTGATAAATTTGTAATTGTTTGTCCACACCGGAACGGTCATGTTGCCTCTACAAATGAAATAATTTCACTTTTCCAAATATAGGTTCAGATGCAAAAGGTAATTTATTTTTTTAGCTTTATACAGCGCTCTTCTCATTTTTAAATTCTTTACAAAATAAATACTTTTATGCGTTTGTTTGAGGTGTAGAAATAGATGTAATTACAAAATATTCTGGATGAGGTAACATTATTCGTATCCCAATTTAATATTGCAATGAGCCTTGGTTTCTCATGTTGGATTTCACTTTTTTCTTAGTCAAAGGTGTTCAAAAGCTCTACATAACATTCCTCTTTTATCCTTTTACCCTTTTCAAAAGTTAGTCTGTAATTCTCAAACACTATACCTCGTGTGTTGATTGCTTCTAGTTTGATGTGACGGCTCCATGTCTCGTTTTGAGTAATTAAACGACACAAAAAAAACTTTCGAGCTTCGGCTGAGCATCACTTGCCCATTGCCAACTAGTTTTACTTGCTCGGCTGCGAGAACTGTAAAAGCTTAATAGAACTATATCAGATAGTATGAGTATAGAAGAAATGCAATAATTTTAAACATGAACTTGAACTGTTCTATTGCTGGTGATTTTGCCAATATTTTCATTGTCTGAAATATATTAATTTCAAAAACGTTTCTAGCATTTATTTGGGCATACAGACCTTCAAGCCAAATAAGTCCAGGGGAGCAAGCACAGCGAGTTTGCTTTGGATAACAGTTTCTACTCCATGTTTCACAAGCTGATATGCATGTCATAACATAAATTGCCCGTGCAAAGTACCAATTGGCAATGTCCAGCAAAATATGAACAAAAAAACAACAAGGCCTCGTAATTTACTTAATAAAATTAATATATAGTATGGCCGCAAAAAAAATTTTATTTATATTTTTCATTTAATCTTCATTTCATTTAATCGCAAGTTCTTTAAGCATTTCTAAATGATTAATATCTTTAATTCAGCAAGCATGCTTAGTCGGGTGATTATGTTAAGCAATCAAAGTGCCCACATTAAAAAAATGGCAATCAAATTGCTCACAATTATCTGTCAAAATGACAGTTGGTAGGCAATTGCTTGTTGCCCGTGTAGACATGACGTTACGTTCTTGCTCCAGCGTGAGCAAGGCGGCCCGAATCGTGCGGATATCTTATTCATATCAAAATATTAAAATGTGACGTACCCACTCAGTTGAAATGCCTGCACACCCCACATACTAACAAGCACTGCTAATGACTCAGTGCAGCGGCAATAATAAAAAGTCAGTGAGTTTTTGAATGACAGATATTGTTTTATTAAAAAAAAACGATTTATTTCTCAATATCAAAATCTTTATTCTCTCCAAAAACTTCAAAACAGATTTTTTTTATCAGTATTTCCTGCTTCCCTTTAATTTATACGAAATTGGTAGCAGGAAATAGTCGAAGAGACCATAATACATATGCTGCCTTGCTCTATCATGTTGGAATAGCACTTTTCCGTCAAAAGTTCTGAATAATGCTCGCCGTAATCAAAGTGAATGACACCCAAAAAATTAAAAAAAGTGGCTAACATCTTGATTGTTTCTCCGTTTCTGGTGTGGTGTGATGGAGTCATGCCTCGGCTTCGAAAACCTATTTGCACACAAACTTGTACGGATTGCAGTAAAACATTGCTAAACGCGCTCATAGTCAAGCTAGTTTTTCCATGTCCTTAAATCCTTCGAATCAAAGCTCTGTCATGTTTACCATGAATCATTTCCTGAATTTCAGAGAATTTGTGTGGAACTGGTGTTCTTGTTCACTGGGTATAACTGACACACTGAAAGCAGCACAGTCAACGCCAACGTTGCACGAGTCAAACGAAGCTTACGGCAAGCGTTCGCAAACGACACAGCACATGTAATGTAGCAGCAACAGCAACAGTTGGGAATGCTGCTTCGGCAAGAGAGCCTGCTTTGCTTTGCAAGTAACGAGTGGCGGGTGCGTGTGCTGCGCTGCTGACGACATCACGGCTACAAACAGGCGAAACGTTGCAGCACAGATTCATTCTAAAGTTGAGTCTCATGGTGCACGGTATAGTTTGCGGTTGGTGTCTTGTTGCTAGCGGTGGCAAACAACTGGCGATATTTTTTTTTTAACCACAACATATGTACTTATAAATTTGTATATATATATATATATGTACATATTTATAAAAATGCATTTTTTTAATTTAACGCGTGAATTGACGATCAATTTGATTTAAAGTGCGGTGCGTTGCAATGTGTTAATATACATATATATGTGCGTGTGTGTACTACAAATATGTATATAAATTTATATGTTTAAAAATGAAAAAAAAAAACAATTAAAACAAAAACACAACACATATACATATATGTACATACATCCACAAGTAACAAATGTACTACAATAAAACGGCAAGTGAATGTGTGGGCATATTTTATGATGTGGTTTTCGCACAATTCGAACACACTGTGCACACTGTTTGTATGTTTTGAATAAAAATTACCGCAAAACTTGGCAAAATTCGAATTCTATTTTATGCCTAATGTAGTAAATGGGTGAAGAGGTGCACACAAACACGCTTAAATACATGCCGCATTATATACATACATATTATACATGTAAATATACATATATTTAGAGAAGTGTATATACAAAAAACCGAATGTTTTTAAGTTTATGCTATTTTGAAAAAGTGTCTGTGCTTTCGCGTTTTCTTGAAATTGTGTGCGGTGCTGTGTGGCGCGCGCGTTCATCTTTCAATTTTCCCCACTTTTATTTAATTTCAAATTGTTGTTGCCGCTGTCAACGTTGTTGCTGCTCTGACTTTTTCGCTTGAAACTATAATTGCTGTGTTTTGGCTACGCAATTCTCCAATAGATTTTTCGTTTTTTTTTTTTATATAAAGTAGTACGAAACGTTTTTGTTGTTGTTTTTAAAGTGATTTCAATTTTAGAGGTCTGCGTGCGCGTATTTGCAGCCGACCCACCAACCGACCAACCGATCGTTCGTGACGCTGTCCGTGCGCCCAACCGCACGCTCGCCCTTCCGTTCGCGTTCCGTTCCCCCCCCGCCCCCAACCATCCAAAGTGACTGCGTAGACAGACTTTTCGCCGTTTAAGTTTAAAAATAGTTTTTCGAATACTCGAGTCGAGGCGAGTCAGTCGAAAACGCACAAGCTAAGGGGAAAATTAGTGTGAAAAGTTGTGTATAAAGCAGAAAATCAAGAAGAAGCAGAAGAAGAGACTGTAGGAAGTACGTATGTATGTATGTATGTATGTGGAAGGCGCAAAGTACTTTAGGTGTCTTCAAATTCCCGATATCTTCAACTGAATTTCCACACAGCTTGTTGTTGTTATTTTTTACTTTGAGTGTTGAATATTGTCAACGCGTACGCAAAAAACTCGTGGCGTCCGTTAGACGCGCTGCGGCTTTAACTTAAAAAAATATCTGTAGTTTTTAAATTAAAAAAAATGTTTTGTACGTCAATTTTTTGTTTTTTTTTAGATTTTTTATTTTAGATTCTCCCTCTGCATACAACTGTGAAATCTCAAAACAATTTTGTAATATTTGTAGTGCGTTTTTTTATATATCACAAAAAAAAAACGGAAAATTTGTAAGAAAAACCAAAAATATTGAAGTGTTGCCATGTTTGTAGTGCATTAAGTGTGCGTTTTCTTTCCCTCTGCTGTATTGCAATTGTTCAAACGGAATTGATAATAAACAAAAGAGCGAAAAATGAAACTTTGGAAGGCGAAAAAACCGATTAGCTGCGTACCCGGCAAATCGGCCGCGTTGAAGAATGAGGATAAACTGGATGGCGGTAATAATGGAGGCGGCATACCGTTAACTCCAATTGTATCGGGTGAGTTGCAAATGTGGTTTTAGGCAGTACTCTGCTTCAAAAAATTCATTTTTTCTTTAATCTATTTGAAAAAAAAAAAATAATAATAATCAAAATCTCACTGGCTAATTTGACATATTTTAGAAGCTAGAGCTTGGTTCGAATGCTCGGGCAGAACTTTGGAGCGCATTTTCTCGAGTGCTATATTTTGAAAGTCTTAAAAACCGGTGCCGGTGACTTTTTAGTTTATATAAATCATAAAAATTGAAAAAGAAAATTGGTTCGGCTGTTTCACGAGTACAGACTGCAGCCGCTTCAGAAAAATCATCACAACTTTGGAAAATTCCAAAATTTTTGATACTAAACAGTTACTTTTGAAGCTTAAATATAGTATATTACTGTCTGAAAACTTCGAAAAATAGCTGAAAAACGTTTTTTTCGGGTTTTAAAAAACATCTTAATTAAAAATTAATTTAAAAATTTGTCATACCAAAAAAAAATCGTTAATATTGGGTCTTATAATGTCTCGTTGAATGGCATTTAAGTCTAATTAAAGGGTGATTTTTCAGCTGTTATCTTTTTGGCAACACTGGTTTGAACAGCTAACGCACGTTTCGCATTTTGTACGAGGTATGTTCAAAAAATATCGCGAATTTTGTGGTTCTTCAAAATTTATTTATTTATTCATGAATATCTTTTTTTTTTTCCTCTTCAAAGTAACCCCCATGAGATATTATACACTTGTGCCAACGGTTTTTCCAATCTTCGATGCCGTCTTTATCTCGTCAATCGTCCTTTCATGGGCCTCTTCAGTTTAGGGAACAAGAAAAAGTCACAGGGGGCCAGATCTGGAGAATACAGTGGCTGCGGCATCATTAGTGTGTTGTTTTTGGCCAAAAAGTCGCGCACAAGCAACGATGTGTGAGCAGGGGCGTTATCGTGGTGCAAAAGACAATTTTTGTTCTTCCACAAATCCGGGCGTTTCTGGCGGATTGCTTCGCACAAATTGCGCATAACTTGCAGGTAATATTCCTTATTGACCGTTCTACCCTGTGGCAAAAACTCATGATGCACCACGCCCCTGCAATTAATTTTTTCGTCGAGAACATTTTGTACCACCGATAAACGTTGCTTCGATCCAAGGTAGCTTCTCCGTATGCCACAGTCAACATTAGGAATGCATCCGCGCACTTAATTTTGTTTTTCACACAAAATTTGATACAGGTTCTTTAATCCATTTTTTTGAATAGGTAAAAATCGAAGACCATCCAAAACACGTGCAAGCAAAGCAGCTGTCAACAATTAAGTGAACATTCAAAATGGCCGAGCTTGTCGGCATGAGTGACAGACACGAGTACCAACATAACGCCACAAAAAAATCGAAATTCGATTAGACGTAACCGGCGAAAATTCAAAATTCGCGATACTTTCTGAACACACCACGTATCACCGTCAAACATCTTCAGTTTGATCTATAATTTAACTTACGAAGGAGAATGGCTTGCAAATTTTTGAATTTTATTATCAAAAAAAACTGTGTTCAGCGACAAAGCCCATTTTTGGCTTAATGGATCAGCCGGTAGCATTGCAAGACCTACTAAAGCATCCAGAAAAGTCACAGTTTGGTGCGGTTTATGGGCTGGTGGCAGCATTGGACCGTACTTCTTAAAAGATGATGCAAATCGTAACGTAACTGTGAATAACGAGCGCTATCGTGAGATGATATCAAACTTCTGTCTGCCCAAAATCAAGAGCTTGATTGCATGGCATGTGGTTTCAACAAAACAGAGCCACATGCCACACAGCAAGCGTCACAATGGACTTATTGAGAGGCAAGTTCGGTGGACATTTTATTTCACGCCTTTAGACTATTTTTTGTGGGGCTATGTTAAATCTAATGTCTAGACAGACAAGCCCACTTCAACTGATGCATTGGAGGACAAAATAGAAGCATTTATTCGTGAGAGAGCGGTCGAAATGTTAGAAAGAGTATGCCAAAATTAGACTAAGCGGATGGACCATTTGAGGTGCAGTCACGGTCAACATTTGCATGAAATAATCCTCAAACATTAAATTATATGGACCATACTATCGATTCAGATAAAGATTTCATGCATTTTTCTGAATTTTTTATTATTTTTTGAAAAACTTTCTTATTCTTTATTACTCAATTTTCAAATTCGTATAAAATATTTAGGGAGTTCCAATCTCTAGGACAGCCTTGAGTTCCAGCCTAAGTGAGGCGCACGCTTTCTCTCCCAAAGCCAAAATTTTCAATGGATTATCCTTATACCACTGAGCTTTGCTTCAGCCAAACTTTGTTCTTGATCAACCCTAATGAATTGTAAGAAAAATAACCGGTAATGAACCTACATTATTATGCAGGGTTGTATGTATGCAATAATATTTTAATGCAGCATTTTTAATGCTGCTTAAAGAGAATTACGACGAATACTAGGCAAGTCGAGGCCGGTGTTGCTCCGGTTCAGGGTTATGTTTTATTTCAAGCGCAGTCAAAGGCCGCCGATTCACGAAGGTGCTTTGCTTAAAAACTTACAGACATGATCATCGAGTATTTATGACAAAAATTCCGCAAACAAAAAAAAAAACAAAGAAAAGACTCCTTTTCAAAGGAATTAGAACATACCTATAATGTTTAAAATTTAGGTTTTATTGTTTTATTTTAGAAATCGTCTATAATTTGCAACCCCGAAGCACAAAATAGTAGACTAAAGTTGCGAATTTTTTGGAACTGTAATTATCTCAAAAGCTATAGGCCTCCGAATCGTTCAATTTTTGATGTCCGAAAGCGGGTGGAACCACCTACCACCCTCTATAAATCACTTTCCCCCAAATACAGTCTATTATTGCAAAATCTTCCCTTTTTGTATTTGTTAAATATCAATTATATGGTTCACCTAAGTAAAATTAGAGAAAGCTATTTTTTTTGTTAGTGGAAGAGAGATTTTTAAATGAAAAACCAAAAAACTATAATTTGTTAGTTTAAGCAAGAATTAATGTAGAATGAATTCGAAATACATAGTTTGTTAGATATAATATATACATAGATGAGTAGGTAGGATATGCTCCAGATTATTTCACACAATTTCAAAAAATCTAAATCGGTTGATTAATTTAATGGGATTTTTCTCCGGCTGAATGCCTTCTACATGCCGCAGGGTTCTTATAGCGAAAGCTTCGCATCCAAACGATTTGTGCAGCAACAAATCTCATAGACCTGGTTGCGAGACTTTGAATATGATTGCGCTGTCTACAATTTTTTTGAAAAAAAAAATATAATTTTTAATAAATTCGACTGTCCGGTTAAAGGATTGAAGTTTCATTTTCAATCTGCAGACAATGTGTCCGCTAACTGAAAATGTAGAGAAAAACTTTTTCTTTCTTTGTACGGACAGCACCTTTTCTCAATATATTTATATTCAATATTAATATTAATTTTCATTAAAATAAATTATAAATAAACTGGTTCGAAAGAATGGATTCCCATTAAAAATATTGTTTTTAAGCTTTTATAGAACTCCTAAATCTCCTTACCAAGAGCTAAAACCACTCTAGAGGCGAGAAAATAGGAAAAAAATTCATTGAAAAAAATATAGAAAAAGGAACAGAATTTCATTGAACATATATTGAAGAATGAAATAATAAAAATTACTATTATTTTGTTATAAAATGGCGTTTCTATCACCGTCTATTATTAAAACCATGCTTTTTTGAAAGACGTCCACGAGACAACCAATTTCTTCTAAAGGGCGAGAAACAGAAAAGCAAAAAGTTTTCTGATTTACAGACTATGGTCTTCGGAAGTACGTACAGATTTATGTTTTTAAACAACTTTTGAAAAACACTTTATTAAAACAATTGATTTTTGACTAAAAGATATGCACTAAATTAGTTAAAAAAAATTTTACATTTTATCGAAAACCAGCTACGTACTTCCAAAAAAATGTATTTCTGAAGCTAGCATCCAAATTTCAGATAAACCGATACAATAGGGTCCCGAATAAACTGTATTCTCAGTTTGAAATATTATATGTGATTTTGAGAAAAACGCGTTATGGTTTTCATTGCACTCAGCGCACGTCTGGGAGAGATCACAACAAAAGTTTTAGCTATTTTAAATATTTTTTTCACTTTTGAACCAATTGCATATCATATCTAAAACTCAAAGGTACCCTGTGAGCAAAAAAAAATTGAGTTTCCAAAATCCTTAAAGAAAAATTTTCACAGTTTCTTTGCAAGTAGGTTTCACAAAGGAAGAAAGTGAGAAATAACATTGGATCTGAGAAGAGACTAAAAGTTATGGTTTTCGAAATACAGTGTAGAGAAATATCTTACAAAACTTGCCTAAAACCTTTCTCAATGCTAATATAAGGAAGACAAAACGAGAATCTTGGAACGTCTACTGCAGCGACATTGATGTCAATAGACATATCAAAGTTCTCTCCAAGAGCTTCGCTATCCCAAACCATATCCAGAAGCTAGCTGGCGAATGGACAGCAACTTTTGATGAGCTGCTTTATGAGAAGCAACCAACTCCCGCATAGGCAAAGCGAGTGTACCTCTGAAATAATCAACATTATATGTTGCGGAAGGGTAGAGATGACGATAAAGTCATTCCGACCCTTTGAAACTCCAGGATTTGGTAGTAACTTCCCCGCTGAACTATAAAAGTATAATGACATCTCATCCCCACTTATATTTAAAATTTACATAGCTAGACCTCGCGAAGGATATATCCTCCAAGTGTGAACTAAGTCTAAGGTATTCTTCAACTCGCAAGGAGACAGAAGCAACCAGGTTAGTCCGAGAGACTTTCGGCTCATCAGTAGTACCTTTTTCTTGTGGAAACATTTTGAAGGACTGCTCGATAGCTATATACGCCTCAAATCCATTCACAGACAGCCTCTCAAGAAAGCAACAGCCTTACTCTAAGGGCAAGTCTGTAGATATAGCACTACATAATTTAGTCAGATGTTGCAGCTGTCGGGAAAAAAAGGGGA